AGGTAGGATCAGGACACTTAAAAATAATAATATTTTAAAAATAACAAGAACAGGATAACTTTTAATTTTTATAAAATACTTCAAATGAATTTGAAGAAGAACTATTTGAATTTGAAGCCTTGGGCTTTTCTTCTAAATAAATCACATTATTTATATTTAGAATGCATTCATGTACACATTATTTCTATATAAAATGTATACATACAAATAATTAAGTTTTCTTAAACTACAATTAGAGACTGCCATTTCTAATTAACTAGTTTTTTAGTTAATGAAGGCAAAGAAGTACTATTTACCTTAATGTTGGAAAATTCAACATTATTCAGAAGCAATCTGATTTCAAAAGCAATCTCTCCAAAGCCCAAATTAGAAAATTGTTAGAAGGCACAGTCATTCTAATATGGAGTTGTGACTTGGGAATTTCATTCCCACTCTTTTCAGCTATTTTTAAATCATTGTTTTCTGCTACTAGAGAATTGGATGGTTGTCATTCATTCCATATTATCTTAAGATTTATTTGAATGCCTGCTATGTGCCGGAGACTGTGCTATACACTTAGCATGTGTCATATCACTTGATTACCATAGAAACTGTGGATGAAGGTTATAATTCCACTTTATATGAAAGAAAGCAGGTTTGGAATGGAAAAAAAATTGTTTCTCTAAGATCATGTTTTTTTAAGTGAATGGTGGCATCCAGACTTGAATTTCAAAGTCTTGCTTTTAACCACTGTAGCTAAATCAAAGACTGGAATCCTTCTGTTATTTCTTAACTGTACATAGACCAAAGAAGCCATTGTGTTAGTTAATTTTTGTTAGAGGGAAAACACAGCATCAGCTATTTTTTTTTTTTAAAAAAAAGACAAGAAAAAGAATCACAACAAAAATCAAAGTACTGAGATAAGTTGGAAAAGAACATTGAACTTGAAAGGATACCTGAAGTAGCACTTGGCTCACTCAGCTCATGTGTCACTTTCTTAGGAAAGTATCCTCTTCTTGTCTGTCTTTAGTAGAGCAGTGAACTTATTACCATAAGCAGTGATTCTATGGTGCACATATTTCATATTTTAATATTTCTAAAATCTGGAGGCATCTTATAATTAATGGTGTTTAAAATTAATTGGCGACATTTTCCCTTAATTGTTGATACATAAAATAAGGGTGTGATTTACTACTGATGACATCTTGGATTTGATGAAATGCAATGTTTATTTATATGTCCTCCCACAAAAATATTTACACCATTCCCACAGTTTAAACTACTGGGTATATATAATGACTTTCTGATTTCTACCCTCACCCTCTTTTGAGCTCCAGCCTTATCTGTTGAATTGAATTTTTCTTGATATCATTGGGATCACAGATTCATGATGTCTATCTTCAAATCCATTTGTCTTTCAGTGGTCTCCATCTCAGTAAATGACATTTTTAGTTGTACATACGTGAAGCAAAAAAGTAAAAATTCAGACTACGCAGGTTTGAATCCCATTTCCATCCGATAACAGTTATACACCTGCCTCTGAGAATTGTTAGGGTGACTAAGACACTAGGTTAATGCTAGCTGCCACTAATCTTCACCATACATATCTGTGACCTCTCCTTGCTATGCACATGTAATTCATCAGATCCTGTGATAGGTTAGCCCTTGAAAGAACAAGTCCAATGCCTCTTACCTCATTGTCACTTCTCCAACTTATGCCCCATTTTTCTTACCTGTAGTAACTCATCTTGTAGCTTTTCTTTTTTTTTCTATGTTTTAAGGTAATAACTATCCTTTAAAACAGAGCATGCCATTTGGTAAAACCCCTCCTGATGCACTTGGTATAGCACCCCAAATCCTTAATAGGGTGTGTTCTGTTCTCTTTTTTCCACCTGGCTTCATCTCCCCCCAAACCAACTCATCTGTTAGAGTATGGCTTAAATGTCACTTCCTCGGAGACAGACATTCCTTGATATTCCAAACTAAATTAGGTTCTTCAGATACAGTCTTTTATATTGAACTTCTTTCTTGTTTGGGGATGATTGGTTCCTTCCCAACTGAGGTTAAAGAAGTTAAGTGACTTCCCCAAAGTCATAAATCTAGTTGTGTTAGAACTGGAATACCAAGCCAGGGCTGGCCAGCTCTAAAGATATGTTCTGCCTGTGATCTTTCCTTTGCTGCATTCAGGGCAGAAAAGAGCATATGAATCAGTATACTAGATTAAAAAATATGCTCCAACCGCTCTCTTCCCTTTTTTCCACTTAGCCTTTAGTTTTCCTTAAATGTTCATCTTTCTAAACCTTCATTCCCTGCCATAACTTATTAGAAATAGGACCTGTTTTTTTTTGTAGTTTCTTTGATGGTAGAGATTCAACCCAGGGATGAGTTACAACACTGCTAGGACCTGTTTTTGTATATTATCTACCTAGCACTTATATAAATTACTTTGCGTATAGTAGATATTAATTAAATATTTTTTGTTTTATTGATAAAAACAGTATTTTAATCTGTTAAATCATTTCAAGAACTCGAACGGTCTCACAAAGGAGTTTAATATCTTCTTCCATATTCTTTTTCCAGTCAATGAAAGAGTACATTTTGTTTTCTTATTTTGAATAAAATTGCCTAAAATAGTTAAAAGCAAAGTTAATTGTGTGTGTGTTTGTGTATGTGTGTGTGTTTTGCAGTGCTGGGAATTGAACCAGGGCCCACTTTACCACTGAGTTCATCTCTCAGTCCTGGTAGTTTGTATTATAATGAATTATTATATGGTTTTGGAAAAAGAAAGAATTAACTTTAAGTATTTTTGTTTTCCTTCAGGAATTAAGTGATCTACAACGTGATCCACCGGCTCACTGTTCAGCTGGACCTGTGGGAGATGACTGTAAGCTTTGCTCTATTGCTAGGATTTTGTTACCATTAAAAGTATAGGTTTGAACATTTGTTAATGACTCCAAAACTCCTTTGTTTGTTTCAGTGTTCCACTGGCAAGCAACTATTATGGGGCCTGTAAGTATGATTCATATATATGAAATTAATCCCCTAGCCATACTTCATTCTTGCCTTTTTACCTTTGATCTGATGTTTGTGAATAAGGTTGAATTTTCTTATACACTGAATCTCGCTGGAAGCAAAATATGATTGAAGGTTTATGATGATTTTCTAAAGCATTATTGGCAATTTCTTAACTAGGATCACTAGGATGTTTTCCTTGCCAGATCCTTGTTCATTACACTTAGTAATGAATCACCCCCAACTTGCAAACAGACTGTTTGCTTTACTTATTTATTTAAGACACAAAGAATCAGTTGTTTTTAACTAAGCATAGTCATTCCCAAATCCATAGCTTTAATGTTAGGTGTAAGTCTAACCTAGTCATGGAATTCCTCCAACTAACAAGCACCAATTTGCATGAAGTTTCATCACTGTTCTTGTCTATGAAGGAGAATTGATAAATGTTGCAGTGGGTCTTTTTTTTTTTTTTTACCACCTTTTGAGTTTTTTGCTTTTAATATTGTTGCACTATCTTGAACTCAAAATTACCTACTGTTCTATTATTGACTCCTCATAACTCCCCTCCCCAGTACTAGGGATTGAACTCTGAGTGCTTTACCTACTGAGCTACATCCCTAGACCTTTTAAAATTCTTTTACTTTGAGATAAGATCTCCATAAGTTGCTGAGGCTGGACTTGAACTTGAGATTCTTCTTTCTCAGCCTCCCAAGTTTCTAGGATTACAAGTGTGTGTTGTTGTGTTTAGCTATAAAAGAGCTTCTCTTAATACTTAGTATCTTTGTTAATATTATTTCTTTTTACACCTGAGAGGCAGTTATGACTTGAAACAGATCTTTTCTTTCTATGAACAAAAACCCAATTGCATAAGCTTCAATCTGCTTTTTAAGTGAGAGTACATTAATATCATGTTTTCATGAATATCAGTCTCTGCCTGCTCCCCAAAGGAGGTTTATTTTATGGAGTTTTGAATCATATTATCTTCTATTTAACTTAAAAGCAAAAAAGTACTGAATTTCATAGCAAGATTACTGGAAAATTGTCTTGATTCTTAAATTATTATGTTAGTTGTTATATAAATGTAAAAATGCAACGTATTTATATAACAATTTTCAATATGAGCCTAGATATATTTGTATTTTGTTATTAAGAACCTTTAAAATACTATCTTTTAAAGGTTCACCCTTACCATTTGAAAAATAGACCTTTATAAATATTTCTTAGGTGAGCACATGTAACAAATTATTACATTTGTGCTATTCCTATCTCCCTTATTTTAGAAATGCAAATATATGCTCTACAGTATTCCATAATCATTTTAATATCTAAGCAGACCATTTTGTCACTGTAATTTGTTTACATTTCTATGTAATTTAATTATTATATTTCATAATTATATTTTTGATGATCTAGAATTAAACAATATATGTAAAAGGAAGAATAATTATGTCATACAGTCCTCTAATATGTATGTAGAAACTTAAGGGAAGAAGTAATATGTATGTAGAAACTTAAGAGAAAAAGTAATG